AAAAAAAAATAAACACAACCCCGTCAGTGTCATACATGTTTCACTGGAGTCAGAAATGGGGGGTCAGGTGTTTGTATTTGACCTTTTCCGTAAGTTGACAAGAAAAGTCGCCGATAAGTAGGAGAACTTGCTTGAAGTTTCTGCTACATTGGGTGAAATGTTCAATACTCTAATATTATATTCAGGATCAAATAATAATTATTTTAAAAAATCTAGCACCACCCTTAATCAACACAATTTAACAGACAATCAAAGGAAGTGAATTGGGGGGGGGGGCCACAGTTTATTGAGATAACAAATATATTTCACAGCTGCAATAGAAGGGTGGGGGGGTTGGCCAAAAAGGCGGCACTTTTTCCCGAAATTTTGAGGTACTGTATTTTCGGCCAACTGCAAATTTTGTCGTGGGGGAGGGTCGGCAAGAATGTTGACGTGCCATGGGCGTCATGATCCCAAGTTACGCCTTTGGTTCCGAGATAACCACAAGACAAACGTTTTGACTTATTATAAATAATCATAATTAAGCCAGGTTTTTGTTCAAGGAGAACTCAACAGTTTGAAAGTAATGGCTTGACTTGGTTCCTATTTTTGGCTAACGGTTAGACTCCGCAGAAAAATCATTAATTGTATACAGTAAAGACTACACAGAGAAATCATTAATTGTATACACAAAAGGTAATTATGAACGCAAAATGCCATACTTCGGCTAGACAGTACTTTTATGTTACAAAATAATGCATTGTAGGTAACTTAAGTGGCGAGTTGGATCTTTCAGATGTTTTGCCTTGACACTTTCCGAGTAGATCTAAGTTCTAACATTAAAGTGAGATTTAAAAAAAAAAAACAGCAACAAAAATACAAAATGAGTCTTTAGCTTGTCCAATTGTTAAGATGAGTAAATAACATTTGGACACACATTGCAGGTAAGTTCTAGAGCAAAATGAAGATTTTTTTAAAAAACCCAGAAAAATAGCACCTCTACGACATTATAAAATAAAATAAAAAATAATTGATTCGAATTAGTCTAATGCAGTGGTTCTAAACATTTCTAGTGCCGCGACCCTTTAATACAGTTTATCGTGTCGTGGCGACCCCCTGCCACACAATTATTTTTGTTGCTACTTCATAGCTGTAAGGATATGTGTTTTCAGATGGTCTTAGGCGACCCCTGGGAAATGGTCGCGACCAAAGGGGTCGCGACCCACAGGTTGAGAAACGCTGGTCTAATGGCATATATTTCATTGACATGAGATGTCTAACAATAACTTGTCAAAATTGTTTGGATGCCACATCTTAACTCTTTTCTTTTCTCCTTTGTAGTGCAAAAAAATAAAAATAATCGCAACTAGTTTTGACAACAGACGACCAGCTGGAACAAGATGGCGTCCAACGTGACGTAAGTTTTTCCTTGTTTATTTTTACTTAAAAGAAGTTAACAGGAGTGTTAACGTGTAGCATAGCTGGAGCTTGCAGGACGTAGGTGGAGCTTGTAGAGTGTAGCTGGAGCTTGCAGAATGTAAGATGGATCTTGTAGAGTGTAGATGGAGCGTGTAGAGCGTAGATGGAGCTTGTAGAGTGCAGTTGGAGCATGTAGAGTGTAGATAGAGCTTGTAGAGCGTAGATGGAGCCTGTAGAGTGTAGTTGAAGCTTGTAGAGTGTAGTTGGAGCTTGTAGAGTGTAGCTGGAGCTTGTAGAGTGTGCTTGGAGCCTGTAGATTGTAGTTGGAGCTTGCAGAGCGTTGATCGAGCCTGTACGTCGTAACTGGAGCTTGTAGAGCGTTATAGGAGATTGCAGAGAGCTGTAACAGGGAGCTGTGACTAATAGCCCCTACCACGTCCTGGTGCTGACTCTCTGCCGATGGAAACATCTTTAGCATTTGTTTACTGTTTGTCAGGGTAGAAAGTTGTAGTGGTCGTCGATGCATATTTATTGTTGGTAATGTGTGCTACATTCAAAACAGCTTGAGGACCATCGACGAAGACGTTAACTAAATTTTAACACTATAATCTAAAGCAGGCAAGCACAACCCAAAATGGCAGGCGGGCCGTAATACTTTATGAAAAACTTGTGCTTGCCGTAATATGTTATGAAAAACTTGTGCGAGCCGAAATATAATAGGACACGGGGGAAATCTATTAATAAAACAATAATAATTAAGAATATTTCATCACTTCGCGGGCCGCCAAGTGGGTGCTGGCGGGCCGCCAAGTGGGTGCTGGCGGGCCGCCAAGTGGGTGCTGGCGGGCCACATGCGGCCCTCGGGCCGTATGTTGTGCAGGCCTGATCTAAGGTACACATTCCGATATTATTTCAACTCCTCTATCGCAATTCAATCTCTCATTGTCTTCTGAATGATAACAGTAAATAAGTTCCCAAAAATAAATGATTTACCCACAGATATGACAATCAAGTTCAGAAGATAAACCTAAAGTGACGTTAAAAAAAACCCACAAACGTATCGAATGGTCCATCACTTCTTAAGTCAGTGCATCAGCGAAGCAGATTTGCTACGGACGCCGACATTCATCATAAGTATGGTGTCGTGAAAAATTTCTGCGCTCAGCGAAGTTATAATCCGACCTGACAGAGAGACCTGATAATTTGACCTTACACTTGGACTTCACACGCCTTTGATCAGATAACTCTGCGTTACGGGTGCAATCCCATTTTTCGATAAAGAGTTAGCCAACACATCACTAAGATAACTGTGTATCTAAAGGCGTTGTCTCTGAAGTATGTTTAAATTGTTGAAGATAAAAGGTCTTGAAAGTTCAATAATGAATATAAAAATTTGAAAAAAAAAAAAATGGAAATAAATAAGTTTAAAAACTGAAAAGAGAAAACGAAATAGGGCCCATGACCTCACACCAAGATTTATGTATACGCTAAAACGGTTTAACATCTGTGAGATTTTTAAAATATTAAATCTTTTATATCAAACTTCGCTTTTTCTCTTTTGTTTCTGGCACAATCTTCGGACGGCTAATTGACCCAACTCCCGTCATCCTTTCAAGCTATAACTTGGCACATAGACTCGTTGCCGATAACATCACGTTATTTCAAATGTCAGACCCACCCCCACTCGAACACCACCCCCCCCCCCCCCCCACCCCCCCCCCCCCCCCAAATCAGTTTTTCTCGTAATTCAAGGGGAAAATGAAAGACTTATGATCTGTTCAATGGTTGCATGTTGTGGTGTGGAGATTGCCTGTGTGGCTATAGCTATAAAATATGCTTATTATTTTATGAAATATTTGGGTACGCAGTAAAAATAAAATGTATTTGTGAAATGATGAAAATAATGGAAACATGAAACGTGTTTTCGCCATAAGTTTACCCATTTACATAACAGCTTCTTAATAAATGATAAATCACGTGCAATTATATACCTGCAAACAAAAATGCACGTAAGGGGCTCAGATAAAGGGAAAAAAGGTGTTGTTTTAGGAGTTGTTTAATTATTTTATTTTGTAAGTGTTTACTCTCTCTCTCTCTCTCTCTCTCTCTCTCTCTCTCTCTCTCTCTCTCTCAGCAAGCTCTGCAACTCTCTGCCTCACTCTCTCACTCTCTGCCTCACTCTCTTACTCTCTGCCTCCCTTTATGCCTCACTCTCTACTTCTCTGCATAACTCTATCACTCTCTGCCTCATCCTTTTACCCCCTGCCTCACTCTCTGCCTCACTCTCTGCCTCACTCTCTCACTCTCTGCCTTACTCACTCGCTCTCTGTCTAAATCTCTCACTCTCTGCCACACTCTCTGCCACACTCTCTGCCTTACTCACTCGCTCTCTGTCTAAATCTCTCACTCTCTGCCACACTCTCTGCCACACTCTCTGCCACACTCTCTGTCACACTCTCTGCCTTACTCACTCGCTCTCTGTCTAAATCTCTCACTCTCTGTCACACTCTCTGCCACACTCTCTGTCACACTCTCTGCCACACTCTCTGTCACACTCTCTGTCACACTCTCTGCCACACTCTCTGTCACACTCTCTGTCACACTCTCTGCCACACTCTCTGTCACACTCTCTGCCACACTCTCTGTCACACTCTCTGCCACACTCTCTGCCACACTCTCTGCCACACTCTCTGCCACACTCTCTGCCACACTCTCTGCCACACTCTCTGCCGCTAGCTGTCCTATTAAATCTCGTTACCCCATGTCGTCTGTAAAAACAATTGACAACATCCCGGCAAGCCGCAGTTGTGGAGCCACATGCCGCAGTTGTGGAGCCACATGCCGCAGTTGTGGAGCCACATGCCGCATTGTGGAGCCACATGCCGCAGTTGTGGAGCAACATGCCGCTCTTTAAAGCGAAAGATGCGGCTTTTTTGTTTTCCTTTTGTTAACAATCTTTACTGCCGTTTAAACAACCCACCCCTAGCATGTGGCTCCCAAAATATTTTCTTTGCTTAACAAAACAATGGCTTCTCACTTGTAAGCCAATCTTCGAGGTAAACAGACTTTGGTCTCGTTTAAAATCGTTATAAATAATAATCGTTATAAAAATGCTATCCACTTTACTTTCGTATGGTCGGGTTGGGGGGGGGGGGGCTTTGGGCTGAGGTAAGTGCACTCAAAACGACATAATTTATTTAATCAAGGTTCTTGGGTTCTCAAACGCATTTTTAGCGGACCCAACTAGGGACAAATCGTTATAAATAATAATCGTTATAAAAATGCTATCCACTTTACTTTCGTATGGTCGGGTTGGGGGGGGGGGGCTTTGGGCTGAGGTAAGTGCACTCAAAACGACATAATTTATTTAATCAAGGTTCTTGGGTTCTCAAACGCATTGTTAGCGGACCCAACTAGGGACTCCTAACTTTCTCCACGCGAAATGTTAAAAACAATAAAATAACATAGATTTATAATAATGAAGCTCAAATTCATAACATTCGACGCCCATTCGATGGCTTGAGTTTGAGAGCCCCTGCACTGAACTAATCAGAGCGATATTTAAAATCCGGGTTTGAGTTCTGCACTGCTAGTTACTACAACACGTTGACAGTAAATAGATCAGGTGGGCGTGTCGAGCATTTGGGATATCGTTGTTAAAAGACATGGACGAGAAAACTCCGTTAGCCGGGTGAGCTCCTGTTGTGTCCGTAGTCCTGTTGTGTCCGTAGTCCTGTTGTGTCCGTAGGCCTGTTGTGTACGTAGTCCTGTTGTGTCCGTAGTCCTGTTGTGTACGTAGTCCTGTTGTGTCAGTAGTCCTGTTGTATCCGTCCTGTTGTGTCCCTAGTCCTGTTGTATCCGTAGTCCTGTTGTATCCGTAGTCATGCTGTGTCCGCAGTCCTGTTGTGTCCGTAGTCCTGTTGTGTCCGTAGGCCTGTTGTGTACGTAGTCCTGTTGTGTCCGTAGTCCTGTTGTGTACGTAGTCCTGTTGTGTCAGTAGTCCTGTTGTATCCGTCCTGTTGTCTCTGTAGTCCTGTTGTGTCCGTAGTCCTGTTGTGTCCGTAGTCATGTTGTGTCCGTAGTCCTGCTGTGTCCGTAGTGAATATAATTGAATTGTCAATGTTAGGTATTCTTCAGCAAGGCTCTTATTAATGGCATGTATGTGTAACGTTGAAAATACATAACAGCTGCAACACAGCTGTAAAGCCACATTGTTTATACCGGTATATGAATGACTTTTTTAAGTGGCATACACCAGTACATTTAGGCTAGAAACAAAGCAACATGGCAATGTAATAACAAGTTTAGACACGGATTTGTTTCGGCTGAGCATAGGGGTGAGGTGAATAGCAAATACACCAAAATCGTTTAGAAAAACTAAACTTCTGAAGAGATAAAAAAGGATGTGACAAGAAGAACAATGCTGTCTCTATGCTTAGGCGAGTTACAGGGATAACTTGTCATATCAACATGTGTGTCAGCTGTAATATGTTAAACAGGAAGTAGTTTTCCCCCACAGTGACTCATGTTTCGTACGATCTTAGGTTCTGATAATAGTTCTTACTGTGGGCCATTCCTAATTCCTAGCTATTCCAGTGCTGTACGATGTGATTCTCTCTGTTAGTCTCTCCCCTCTCTCTCTATCAGTCTCTCTCTCCTTCTCTCTCTCTTAATCTCTCTGTCTCATTCTCTGTATCTTAATCCCCCTTTCTGATTCTCTCTTTCTCACGCTTTCTCTCTCTCTCTCTCTCTCTTTCTCTCTCTCTCACTCTCACTCTCAATCTCTCTCTCTCTCTTACGCTCTTTAAGCCTCATTTTCTCACTCTTTGCCTCTCACTGCTTCTCACTATCTATCACTCTCACTTTCTCCCTCACTCTCTCTACCTCTCTCACTCTTGCCACTCTCTCTCTCTCTTTCTCTCGCACTCTCTTTCCTTCTATCTAGAGCTCGCCCCTTCTCTCTCAATCTCCCATTCTCTCCTTCTCTTCCTCTTTCTCACTCTCACTTATGCATATCATTATACAACGATATTAACCTGCCTGTCTAACTACCTACTTGCCTGTCTGCCTACCTACTTGCCTTTCTTCCTACTTACTTGCCCGTCTGACTACCTACTTGCCTTTCTTCCTACTTACTTGCCCATCTGCCTACCTACTTGCCTTTCTTCCTACTTACTTGCCCGTCTGACTACCTACTTGCCTGTCTGACTACCTACTTGCCTGTCTGCCTACCTACTTGCCTTTCTTCCTACTTATTTGCCCGTCTGACTACCTACTTGCCTGTCTGACTACCTACTTGCCTGTCTGCCTACCTACTTGCCTGTCTGACTACCTACTTGCATGTCTGACAACCTACTTGCCTGTCTATACATGAACCCCCAAAAACAGACAATTCCGTTTAAGTATTATTTAACAATCAATCATAAATCATACATTCATTGTCCACTACACACTTAAAACTACTATAGGTGTATGATTGGAGAGTAGAATCATTCAATTTGAAATCACTCTAGCGCATCATTTAGCAAGGCTTTAACACAATCTTCACTGTGATGTTTAAGATCAGGACATTGTCCAAGACACAGAGCTAAAGTGACGTCCCTTCATTATTACCGTTATCTTTTTTCAGAGGTCTGGGGACAAACTACTCAGGAGCAGCGCCGTATCCCCCACAAGGAGCAGCGCCCTATCCTCCTCAGGGAGCAACGCCCTATCCACCTCAGGGGGCGCCTCAACCCCAAGGAGGGTATCCGCCCTACCAGCAGGGAGGTCAGCCGCCGGCAGGTGGGTGTTGGTCACATGACTTAATGTTACACTCTATGACTGTATGATGTGAGATATGCGTGCATCATTAGCTTCACGATTTCCCGCATGAACCATTGCGTCAATCACAAACGCACAGTGCACTAGTAACGTGGGGTAGCCCAGACCTTGCATCTACTTTTCCTGAAGAAAGTAATACAATGACCGTTGTAGACAGACTGGGGCGCGTGCTAACGAATCAGAAATGACTGAGAGCGGTCTTCACTGGCAGATTCTGAAAAGTTGACGTGTCTTACACAAAACGCAAAGCAACAACTAAACATTTCTTTTTAAATTTTGATCTCAATATTTGCTCACCCGAATGTTTCACTCGAACAGATGATTGACAATATTAATCTGAATTATTAGTTTATTCATTAATTTTTTAAATTTCAAACAATACAAACAGTTTAAATTATAGATAATTGATAGATAACTGAGAGATAATCGTCCGAAAATTGAAATGGTATAAGTATTTTTTTTTTTTGTTTGTTAAATGTTCCAACCTCAGACGTCTCATCAATGCTCACAAATAGATCAATCACATATCTGAAAAAAAAAATTTTTTTTGCCTTTTTTTTTTTGTTTATACAAGAAACCCACATTTTTATTTTATTGTGCGTATTCTGCATGCTAAGATGTACATTCTAGATCAGCCTGCTCCCTTATAAGCATATGCTAATTATAGTTTTGGAGTGGGAGCATATCCATCCACTGAAATCACTTTTGGTCTTATTTTTGAATTTATGCGCATATTTACGCGCATTAGAAAATACAGAAAAAGGAATACGAGTTTAATATCATTATCTGATCCGGAGTAAAATACGTCATGGCTTCTTAGGCACGCTAGGCTCGAAAAGAAAGAGATGACACAGCCACCCTTCTGGACCCTAAACACATATATTTTTTTTTTAGAATGGTTTGGTTTCCATTGCACTTAAACTCAAAAAAACGTAGACAGGGTCAGTGATATATCTTGGTAGCGCATCACCTGGGGTCTACACATCTACAAGCCTGTGGTCAAGACCACGCGGCTGGCCGTAGTGGTGCCTCTGCGGAACGAACAAGTGCATTGATGGAGTAATACGTTGCTCTCTCCCTTACTTAGATTCTCTCGCGTTTAGATTACGCCTACTAAAACTTTAGGATCGGAAAATATTGTGAAAGTAACAATAGATAATAGTTTACATTAATATTGTGAAAGTAACAATAGATAATAGTTACATTAATATTGTGAAAGTAACAATAGATAATAGTTACATTAATATTGTGAAAGTAACAATAGATAATAGTTACATTAATATTGTGAAAGTAACAATAGATAATAGTTACATTAATATTGTGAAAGTAACAATAGATAATAGTTACATTAATATTGTGAAAGTAACAATAGATAATAGTTACATTAATAATGTGGCGTGTGAAATACGCACAAAGTTTTTTTTTAGCACAACGGGTAAAGTGTATTTGACCCATCTTATGTATACAATTTAGTCATTTTTGAATAATGTAAATAAAATACATGTTTATATACATAATTCCAAAAGCATATGTACCCCAATTACAATTCCTTTATTTGTGTATACTTAATCGAGCAGTATTTTTTTTTTTACAAACTTAGGTGCAGTTCCTCAAGGTCAAGGAGTTCCCCACGGAGCTATGTCTAGTCCCAACGAAGATACAGAACCGAGTGCCCCACCCCCAGAGCTGGCGAGTTTGCCCGGTTATTCAAACATTGGCTTTGATGGAGGTACGTAATAAACCGTGACTCCGCCCCAAGACGCCTCTCCAGGACCCCTACCCATGACGCCTCCTCACAACGACTCCCCGTGATGCTCTCCCATGACGCGTCTTTGTGACGCCCTCCACGACACCTCCCTTGTCGCCTCCCCGTGACGCCTCTCTATGACGCCCTCCCACGACGCCCTCCCACGACGCGCTCCCATGACGACCTATCATGACGCCTCCCCGTGGCGCCCTCACATGATATCACCATCTTGACGCCCTGCCATGACACCCCCTCCCTGGCAAAAGCGAACAGAAGAAGAAAACGATAGTAAAATAATACATTTAAAAAAGCAATACCCCATTACAACTTAACACTGAGCGCAGGGGCATTCACTTGAGCACATTTGAGTAAGAGTATGTACCTAACATCAAAATCTACAAAACAATGCAGTGGGACGGCTAGATGTTTTGACGCTGGGGGGACGCCTTTGAGTCTGGCACACCATTATTAACGATAACCACAAAGCACACGGAATACACATAAAAAGCTATATATAGTCGATGCCGCTCCAAAATTATTTCCCCTCAGGCGTACGCGTCCCACCCCCCACCTTTCCTACGGGCGTGTAGCTATGTCTGCTCACGAGAAATTCTGCTCTGCCAAGTTCCATCTCTCACACACAGAAACACGCTGACGAGTACACAAATAGTCATATGCCTCATAAAATTTGATTGTGCTGGTGTGCATCAAAAACAAAAGCAACGTACCAAATAAGAACGTAGAGATTAAAACATGACCTGAGGGTTTTGTATTAAATAACTGGACTAACTAACGCGCATTTGCACCACAGATTTGGTGGATTTTAATCATTATTATGACCTTACAAATCCAATTTAAAAAAGGCGTGCCAAAAGGATGGTCCAAACAAATAGACGACACAAACCAGCTTTGATCAAACTGAGGTCCTCGGACTTATGTTTTTTTATGTTGTTTTGTTCGCTGACGAAGGCTTTCTGCCGACACGTTCGCTGTTTTTTTTGCGTTTACTTTTTCAGATTTAACCCTACTCTGTTTTATTGATTTTCATATTGTACTAACCTGATTGCAGTCTCTCCCCTTATTACCCTGAATAGTTTCGGAGCTATCGATTGTGTTGTTGAGATTCAGTGTGGGTTTTCCCCTCTCCGATAATGAGATGGATTACAGTAACTGACAGCATGAGTTCCATCAAAGGTTCTCGTACACCAGTTCATACGTGTACCCTAACTCCATCAAGGTCATCGGCAACGCAATTTATGACCCCCCCCCCCCCAAACCAAAAAAACTAATTCAATAAAGCTCTATTAAAAAGCAAAACACTTTTTAAAATAATTTAATTTTTTTTTACTTTTTATTTTAGACAGCATGAGTTCCTTCAAAGGTTCTCGTACACCCGTTCATACGTGTACCCTAACTCCATCAAGGTCATCGGCAACGCAATTTATGACCCCCCCCCCCAAACCAAAAAAACTAATTCAATAAAGCTCTATTAAAAAGCAAAACACTTTTTAAAATAATTTAATTTTTTTTTACTTTTTATTTTCTCATGATTCATTTGTCTTTGTGATTTAGGGACACTTTTCTACACTAGCAATTTAAATAATGCATTAAAAAAAAATATATATATTATATATAATGACAACTTTTCAATATTAATTTAGTGAGAACTAATGGGTATGATAATGTCCCTTAAGAATGATAATGTCATTTTTGCCAATGTTTTTGATATCTTAGCCATGCTGCCCCCTCCTTCATATCAGGAGGTGATTCAGGAACCACAACAAAGGGCAGCTATTCGGAGGTAAGCCTGTGATCATGGGTTATTTTTCGTTTAAAATATATTATTCAATTAATTAAACGTGTGTTGTATCGACTTTGCGATTATATTTAATTAAATGACCAAAACATGTTTTTTTTTATAATGTTATCCATTAAAACATATTCCGATAAGAAAATGTCCGGTTGTCAATCATCCTTATTCCATTAGACCCCAGTAAAAATAAATATTCATTTGCTATTTCATTGTACTTTTGCCATATTTACAACATCACTGACGTTCAGGTGATAGCTTCAACAAATCGCTTGACTTCTCCACAGCGGGGCGACAATCACAGAGGATCAAGCTAGGGAGGCAATCATCGAATTCGTATCCGAGCACTGCTGTTATGGGAAGGGACCGGCCCTTGAAATGAAAATCAACGACCTGCAGTCTTCCAGTGCTTTCCATGTACGTTTGAAAAATTATAATATCGTATATTGTTTTTAAAAAAAACAAACAAATCACTTTAACAGTAATAGATTTTTGAACTGAGCACTGTGGCGTCCTTGGATTTCCATGGTTTTCTTTAAAAAATGTGTTGCGAAGTTAAAAATAATAATTTCGCTATTTCGTAGTTTGTTTCTTATAATTTGTCATCGGGAGCCTTGAGAAAAACCAGGGTGTAGGTGTCTCTACAGTACATTCTCATTGTTCACCGTGTCTCTACAGTACACTCTCATTGTTCACTGTGTCTCTACAGTACACTCTCATTGTTCACCGTGTCTCTACAGTACACTCTCATTATTCACTGTGTCTCTACAGTACACTCTTATTGTTCACCGTGTCTCTACAGTACACTCTCATTGTTCACTGTGTCTCTACAGTACATTCTCATTGTTCACTGTGTCTCTTCATTACATTCTCATTGTTCACTGTGTCTCTACAGTACACTCTCATTGTTCACCGTGTCTCTACAGTACACTCTCATTGTTCACTGTGTCTCTACAGTACACTCTCATTGTTCACTGTGTCTCTTCATTACACTCTCATTGTTCACTGTGTCTCTACAGTACACTCTCGAGACGTTTGGAGAGGGCCGATCCACCAAATGGACGTGTCAGCCCTACATGGGAGAAGGGATCGTGGTCTCGGGGAGTCCCCCTGGGGCGTGGGACATACAGGCCCAGCCCCCAGCCATGTTTCAGACGAACAAACTGGAAGTAGAGGTCCCGAACACTGCATCGGTCAAGGTGGGTGCTGTAAATTAAAGGATTCAGTTGTGGGTGGGAGAGGACTAGAAGTAGTCTTTTGAGCGTGTCAAAAAAGGTTTAAACTATTTCCTTTTATAGAAAAAATTAGAAAGCTGTAGGTTAGTCAAGGTATGATACCAAATAAAGATTGAAGCAAATTTAAAATAACCCTTAAGAATTACCCGTACTCTAATATCATCATTTTAGAATCTTGTTTTAAATTGATTTGCTTTGATTCATTGGCAGCCTTGTCATGTCTGCGGTGCCAGAGGTTACAAGTTCTGTTACATGTGCCTAGGAAGTGGGAGGGTAAGTAACTGTCTGTTGCATGTGCCTAGGAAGTGGGAGGGGGAGTAACTTTCTGTTACACGTGCTAGGAAGTGGGAGGTGAAGTAACTGTCTGTTATATGTGTCTAGGAAGTGATGGGGTAGATAATAAAGTGGGTATCACTGTGTTTGCAGTGTTACATACGTGTAAGATTTGATAACTACCCACTATATTAATTTTTAGAGGTGTCAGGGCTGCTTACTACCCACTATATTAATTTTTAGAGGTGTCAGGGCTGCTTACTACCCACTATATTAATTTTTAGAGGTTTCAGGGCTGCTTGCTACCCACTATATTAATTTTTAGAGGTGTCAGGGCTGCTTACTACCCACAATATTATTTTTAGAGGTGTCAGGGCTGCTTACTACCCACAATATTATTTTTTAGAGGGATCAGGGCTGCTTACTACCCACAATATTATTTTTTAGAGGTGTCAGGGCTGCTTACTACCCACAATATTATTTTTTAGAGGGATCAGGGCTGCTTACTACACACAATATTAATTTTTAGAGGTGCCAGGGCTGCTTACTACCCACAATATTAATTATCTTCAAAGAACTTTAGGAAAATAATATTACTGTAAATTTCGAAGTGTTAATTCTTAGAATGTGTTCTGTGTGTAACATCGACTCTCCGTCCATGCAATAGAAAGGTCAACTATTTTTTAGTACATACATTAACGCGTGACTCTTTAACCTTTATTTAAGTTTTCAATTGATAACTTCCTCCCACTCGACAGAGACAATGTGCATTTTGTAACGGAACCGGCAGAATTTCTTATTATGAAGATGGTGAACATAGACACAAGCACTGTCACAGTTGTACCGGGGGGATGACAACGTGAGTAAGACCACTGGGAGTTGGAGACAATACATTCTTCTTAGTTGTACTGTTTTAATGCTTTAGAGCAGGGGTCACCCAAACTTTTTTCACCGCGGGCCGGATATTCATTCTGTACAATAATTGCGGGCCAGAACAAAAGCTCTGATAAAAAAGACGAAAATCTAAGTTTAGTATTCCATGTTAATCATGGGTGAGTGGCGTGCAATGCACAAAAAAACAAAATAAAAAAAACAAAGACAGCCAACATATTTATTTACTAAAAAGGTTTTGAAAGAAGGCGACGTTAGCAAAAAGATAGTTACATCAGACCTAGTGCGCACAGATTCGAATCTCACAAGCTTTAGTGAGATTTGTGAAACTAACGTTTGGCTTTCAAGAGATCACAACTGTTTGGTTTGCAATTGCTGCATCCAATGCAGGGAATTGCCCTCAAGTGTTCATCACTCACTCTCGTTCGATGTGTGACTTCACATACTTTATGGATATTTATTCTTATTTATTTAATTTTTTTTTTAAGCCAGCTTTTTCCCTTTAAAAAAAAAACAAACAAACTCAGATTACATGATCGTTTAAAAAAAAAAAAGATGTTTTATTTTATGCTGATCTGAGTTCGAGTTTGAACCACGTTGAATTTCACCAGTAAAATTATTTTTACCATTGATAGAGACTGTGATAATGGTGTTTGTTGGTCCACTCAATATAAAATAATATCTAGAGCAAATGCACGTCTGCAAATAAAAATAATATAAAAAAGTGACCACAGATTGCAATATAAACGTCGGTCATCTATTTTTAGAAGTTAACTGTTTTGACGACAGCTTAACTCGATCCCACATAGGCACTGCCATGCATGGGCGCCCGCAGGGGGGGCAAGGGGGCACTTGCCCCCCCCCTGGATTGATTGGATAAAAAATTTTTAGACAAAAATAGACAAAAAATGTATTAAGGTAAAGAGAAAATAAAGAGAAAGTAACTAAGCTGATGACCTGTCCGTTCGTTCACCATACAAATACGCAACTACATTAAAACATTACTAAAAATTCCCCCCCCCTAGAAAGTTAATCGATTTTTTTGCCCCCCCCTCCCCCGTAGAAAATTTTCTGCAGGCGCCCATGCTGCCATGCGAGTAAATAATATATTCATTTTACATGCTGTGCGTCTATTTATTTACTAATAAGATACTGTATTTTAAGATTTAAGAGTTCGAAGGTGAACAGGTCTGTAATAAAGAAGGAAATCTAGATACAATAATTTAAAATTTAAAATAGTAATTTAAGGCGCTTAGAAGCCAGAAAGTGTCCGCACGGGTGAAGATCTCCTAGTATTCTAAAATAATGTTTAAATTGTATTTAAACGTCTCCTTATCCATACGTTTTATGAAAAAATTCAAGAACTGTCGTCGGGCCGGTTGAACTGACGTCGCGGACCGGATCGGGCCCGCGGGCCGTAGTTTGGCGACCCCTGGTTTAGAGATAAGGTATTAGTGATAGATGTATAGTTACAAATGGGTTATAGAGAGGGTATATTTTATAACGTTATTTAACTGTGCTAGAGACACTGCTGTTTCTTACCCCCTCCAAACCCCGAACTTGCTGATGCTGGCTAAACCATAAGGTGTCTCTGGCTAAACCATAAGGTGTCTCTGGCTAAACCATAAGGTGTCTCTGGCTAAACGATAAGGTGTGTCTGGCTAAAAAAATAAGGTGTGTCTGGCTAAATCATAAGGTGTTTATGGCTAAACCATAAGGTGTGTCTGGCTAAACCATAAGGTTTGTCTGGCTAAACTATAAGGTGTGAATGGCTAAACCATAAGGTGTCTCTGGCTAAACCATAAGGTGTTTCTGGCTAAACCATAAGGGTACTCTGGCTAAACGATAAGGTGTGTCTGGCTAAAAAAAATAAGGTGTGTCTGGCTAAATCATAAGGTGTTTATGGCTAAACCATAAGGTGTGTCTGGCTAAACCATAAGATTTGTCTGGCTAAACTATAAGGTGTGAATGGCTAAACCATAAGGTGTGAATTGCTAAACCATTAAGGTGTGTTTGGCTAAACCATAAAGTATGACTGGCTGAACCATAAGGTGTGTGGCTAAACTATAAGGTGAATCTTGCTAAGCATTAGCTGTGACTGGCTAACCATTAGTTGTGACTGGCTAACCATTAGTTGTGCCTGGGTAACCATTAGTTGTGTCTGGCTAACCCTTAGTTGTGTCTGGCTAACCATTAGTTGTGTCAGGCTTAACCCGCAGGAGTCATCGTCATGCCCCTACACTCCAGCCAGATCACAGAAGGTGAGTTTTCTGGAGGGTCACAGAATCGGACAGGAGCCATAATGATCAACAAATTGATCGTGGGTCCCTCAAATATAAGAAGAAGAAGAAGAAGGACAGCGATTTACAAGTGATAAGATGTGACCAGAGCGCTTTGTATTGCAGAATGGATATCTAATAGTGTGGTCTGTAAACAGAACAAACAAAGCTCCATCATAAATTAAACACTTTTGTGTGCATCTATCCACAGGTGCTTCACGTGCAACGGATCAGGTCGGATCGAATGTCGCAAGTGTAAAGGTCGTGCCAATCTGCGCTGGTTTATCCAGTTAACAATTAACTGGTAAGATTTGAAAAAAATCATGTCAATAGTTATACGCCGTTCTCTTTTTGGCTAAGATGAGCTACTTCATCATGGTATTTGGTATTCGTTAAGCTTTTTACATTTTCGCTCCTCTCAAGGACCAATCATTTGGAGGACCACATCGTTGAGAGAACCGCCTTACCCGATGAACTCATTCGGTCAGTGTCAGGAGAAGTGGCTTTCGAAGAAACTTCGCCAAGGGTGGGTCTTTTGAATTAATTAGTTATGGGCATTAGAGAGGTGGGTCTCTTAAAATAATTAGTTATCTGCATTAGAAAGGTGGGTCTCTTGAATTAGTTATTTATGGGCATTAGAGAGGTGGGTCTCTTGAATTAATTAGTTATGTGCATTAGAAAGGTGGGTCTCTTGAATTAGTTAGTTATTTGCATTAGAATGGTGTGTCTCTTGAATTAATTAGTTATGTGCATTAGAAAGGTGGGTCTCTTGAATTAATTAGTTATGTTCATTAGAAAAGTTAGTCTTTTGAATTAATTAGTTATGGGCACTAGAGAGGTGGGTAGGTCTCTTGACTTAATTAGTTATAGGCATTAGAAAGGTAGGTTTCTTGACTTAATTAGTTAAAAGCATTAGAAAGGTGGGTCTCTCGACCTAATTAGTTAAGGGCATTAGAAAGGTATCGGTTGCAGAAAATAGTTTCTGTAGTAAATTCTAATTGCGGTGGATAAAATAAATAAAAAAAGACAAATGATAGTCGACAAAGTGTCCCCTTTGGTTCGGCATCGTGCTGGTGATGAGCTGTTGTCCTAACGAGGCAAACCATGTTCTCCTTAGCTCACTTAGTCTCACCATTATGACTCTGGTTGGTGCAGGTTTCTGTTGACACGCAATTTAAAAAAAAAAAATAATAATAATTCGTTGTCGTAAAACCAAAAACAGGAACAGTTAGTGTGCGTTAGTCAGTGACCAAAACAAATTATGCTGTAGATGTACAGCGATAAACATACAATTTATATTGTTCTTACAGGTCTGAAAGATTTTAGTGCGATTAAACTGTAACTATACACTGAATCTTCATGTACTAAAATAAAAGCAACATGGTGGACATAGTTATTTAATATTTGTATTTCTCAGCCTGTAACGAACTTGTTAAGATATGAAATACTAGATTTAAGTTTTTAATTTTTTTTTTATTGATTAATGGAGAGAACTGACACTAGGGCGTGTACACGGATTGGGGGGGGGGACGGACGCCCCGGAATAGATGTTATGTTACATAATTAAACGCCTCCATTCTTTAAATTAGATATACCTAACATGAATTTGCAATCTGTGTGCAGGTATGGCCTGTGAACCATTTCCCTGAACAAGAAATTAACATGGCGTCAAAGGGTCTGGTCAGCAAACACGGGTCTGGCTTTCCCTCGGAACGCATTCTTATGCAGGTAATTCAAAGGCAATAGAAATTGTTTGTTTTTTTAACGCATGAATCCATCCTATTTTCTATATCATTTAAACCATGTAGTTCTTAAATTTAATACTTACAACGGTGATAAAATGTAGATGGATTTTGGGGCTGCTAACCGCTGTGGTTGAAATCTTCATAGAGAGATCAAACAAAATCGAAAATTGCAAATTTGATGGTGAAGGCTCGAATCAGTTTAAAACAAGGAAACCACTGGTGAGATCAGGGCTCCACTGGTGAGATCAGGGCTCCACTGGTGAGATCAGTGCTCCACAGGTGAGATCAGGACTCCACTGGTGAGATCAGGGCTCCACTGGTGAGATCAGGGCTCCACTGGTGAGATAAGGTCTCCACTGGTGAGATCAGGGCTCCACTGGTGAGATCAGGGCTCCACTGGTGAGATCAAGGCTCCACAAGTCAGATCAGGAGGGTCAACAGGTCCATGGGGAAATCTGGGGACGGTGACACCGCACCGGGTGACACCAAATCGAATGACGTCACTGAGTTATGGGTTAACGCTGACCTAATTTAACATTAGCTTAATATTTTTTTTTAAGTTGCCAGTTGCTCGAAAAAGCGAAGACCTTTATTTTGACACCACCACCACCAAAACGCCAGTCTTAAGATATGTTCAGTCTGTCAATATCAGTTTCTCGAAAGCCATATGATGGTTACATAACGAATAGTATTCAACGAACTAATTCATATGTTGCAAACGTTTTCCCATTCACTTGCCTTTTGTTGAGTTTATTTTACGATAGGATTTTTAAGCATATTTGTAAAACATAAGTCTTTGAATCAAGTCAATTCCATCCATTCATGAAACTGTTTAAATGCGTTGACCGTGGAGAAATTTCATTGGATTTTTCTTCTTCTGTACGTTTGTTAGTCTAGTTTTCAAGCCTCGCCTGTGCGCCCCTTTCACGTTAAAAATAATGATTCCATTTGATTAGATATTATAGGTTTGCCATTATAAGGATTCAGTCATCTATCCATAGATCACGTACTTACAAGGGTTATGGAAATAACGAGGAGAAGCTGCAATCAGGTTGGAAAAATGGAAATGAGCGGAAACAAAAATGTATAACGTACAACGGATAATGATCTCTAATTCTAGTAGGTGTGTAAATGTAAGTGTAAGCATTTGTTCATGTGCCCGGCTAGATCAGTCCGCACATAATGAGACTCACAATATCACAGTTGTGGTCTCGAGCAACACTTTGGGCGAAATGCTTTAAAACTTATATGTTTTTCTTACGTACATTTGATTTCATTTTATGTAAGTATTATGAATAATGATCTTTAACTTTTAGTACAACGGTTCTCAAACTGTATATCGCGACCCCTTTGGGGGTCGAACGACCCTTACACAGGGATCACCTTAGACCATCGGAAAACACAAATACCCTACAGATATGAAGTAGCAACGAAATTACTTTTGTGGTTGGGGGTCGCCGCAACATGAGGAAATATATTAAAGGAACACGGCATTAGAAATGTTGAGATCTACAGCTTTAGTAAGTGAATAAGCAGAAGTGTTAGATTTTTGTGGTTTTTCCCACACTCTGTTTCGCTCATTTTCACTCGAAAGTGTTACCACGATGAATTGACTTTACCAAGCGATCTTAATTTAAAATACTGTTTTCTCTTTACATTGTTGTTGCGCAGCGTCACCGAGTTCGCATCATCCCAGTCACTCAAGTCGGTTACCACTACAAAAGTCAGACCTCCAGCTTCTTCGTCTACGGCCTGGAACACAAGGTTTACGCCCCTGACTACCCGGCTAAATGCTGCTGGGGTTGTACGGTCTTGTAGGATTGCAGGCGACAGACGTCTGGGTTTATCATGGAGACTATTGACTTGCCAATTTAATGGATTTAGAGGGTACGAAGGCCATTCACTGTTAAAAAAAATAATTGAAAATATATAAAGTGACAATTTTTAAGTTTTACAAATCGCTTGTATGTTCATTTAACCTCTGTAAATGGCTATCGCTAGAAAATCAACTCGGTTTTTTTTTTCTCTACTGGATTATAGAATAATAAATTAGATTTAGGCTGAAGAAATTCTCAGCAATTATAGGTTTCAAGATGAAGTACACATAAAGTAAGGTCACTTCGCAAAGCTCAATCTTTTTGGTTAGGCCACTAAAGCCAAAATAAACTATTATGTTATTTAGAAACAGTGCATAGTTTTATAATATTATGTTAAATCTAAAACATGTTTGGCCTATAATGTTAAAGCTTTGCATGTTGGAGCTTTGTATGTTTGAGCTCCAGAGAGCAAGTCTGAAGTGTGTTTGAAAATGTTTTTTAAAAAATAATTTTTTGTTTTTTTTAAACTTTATATTTAAATAACTTCATGTTGTTAGTGGCGTCATTACAACTTTAAATATTTATGTTTAAAAAAAAAAGAATATTTAGTTGTAAGTTGTACGGTATTTAATGTTTGTCTTTAGAGATAATTGGTGTTATTTCAATTATTATATGGTATGCTCAATGCATTAGACGCATGTGTCCAAAGATATTTCAATATATTTGAATATATTTCATTGAATTTTCGTATGTCCAATATGTTTCACGCTATTTAAAGTATATTTGAAACCATTTGATGCATGTTTCAAAATCTTAAATGTGTGTTTCAATGAATAATTGTAAATATTTTAAAATGTTTTCGCTGTTCGTTGTAAAGTGCTTGTTTTTTTAAAAAAAAAGGAATTGTAAAAAAATAAAAGTTTTGCTTTCAGTTTATTCTCTCTTTCACGTTGATCTTAAAGCAAGTTTGTTATTTTGGTGACATGTTATTTGGTCGACTCTTCAGCTATGCAACTTTTCAAGTTTTTGGACACTATTAAATTTAATTAAAATTGGGGAAATGAAAGCACATACCCGATATGAAAATATGTTGGTGACCGATTAACATCACGGTCGTCACCCAGATTGATGCAGAGGCGTAGCGAAGGGGGTGCAGGTGTGGACACATGTCCCCGGGCGCCAGGTATTTAGGGGCGCCAAAATGTGCTTTGATGTTATTTTATTGATGAAAATAATGGGTTCGAGAGTTGAAAAAAAGAAAAAGGGGCGCTTTAAAATGGATCTTGTCCCCGGGCGCGAATCTTGTCCCCGGGCGCCAAAACCCTCGCTACGCCGCTGGATTGATGTGGTATATTCTTCAAATTTTTACTGGCCAACATCCTGAAACATTCTTTAAAAGAAGGACTGAGGTGTATCGGCGTCAGAATTTCAGCATTTTTTTTAAAAAAGGGCAGTCTTAACATCGATCTAAAAAAGTTAGAGTTTTAGAGAATTTAGAGATCGCCATTTATATGTCTGTATATCATTACGCTAAAGATATTAGTTGATATTTTCTAACACACCCATCCTCAATTGGCAATTCACTAAACCCATTTAGCTACTGAAGGCTGAACTGTCATGCCACATGGGACATATTGGTTATACAAGGCTGAAATGTCACTGTCATGCCACATGGGCCATATTGATTATAGAAGGTTGAACTGTTTAGCCACCTGGACCATATTTGATTATAGAAGGATGAAATTTCACACGACATTGGCCATATTTGATTATATTGTATGGAAGACCACTGGCTCCCAGAACAGATATTCACGATAGGCAAGCGCTCCCAAGGAGGTAAAAAAAAAGCGTTAAAAAGACTCAGTAAAAGTGGCACTAAAGGCCTTCAGCATCAACCCTACTGAATCGGTGCAGACAGCCCAGGACAGAGCCGGGTGGAGAGAAGCTGTCAAGAAGGGGGGTGGGGGCTAAATCTCATAAAGCCGGTAGGATAACCACAGCTGAGACACGCAGGCTAGCCCGAAAGAGCAACAGTAGATCAACGATTGCTGCAAACTATCCCCTGCCCGCGTTGTCAGAGATTATTCCGAGCACGGATCGGACTAGCAAGCCACCTACGAGCTCACCGTAACCCCCCTCCCCCCCCCCCCAACCGGATGACTCGATGGTCCTTGTCGGTTTTGACGGACGAACAAAAATAACAATTTGATTATAGAAAGAAGCTATCTTATTATTACAATATACATGACGTTAATTTTCAGAAAATTTCCTAGCCCCTTATTTCACTTGATTTTTTAAAATTTACATCAAGCAATGTCGTGTTACAAAAACATATTTTGTAAATTTTATAATTTATATCAAAGCCCTACGATGAATAACGCTCACCAGCATTCAGAGAAAATATTTTTTTTTCTTTCGCAACTTGAGACCCCATAAAAATCCGAGCCCCCCCCCCGCCCCCCACCCTCCTGTAGCCGCTCAACGGCTTCAGGGCTCACACGACGCCACTGCTTTCCACACATCTTTTTATAAATATATAAATATTTTTTTAAAGGCTAATTACACAAATAAAAATAAATAGCCCAGGTTTCTTAGAAAAAATCAACTTTATTGAATTTTTAACCCAGGAAACATGCTTGAAAAACTACAATTCATTAACACACACAAAACTATGGACACACCGGTAAAATACAAGGACATTATGGTGCTGCTTTGTGTTCATTCTTTCTTCACCGTCTCAGGTCGCCTGTGCATTGCCCACTCACTTCTGAACACGCTACAGTGGGTACAAGCAATATTTTGAAACAAAATCAATTTGAAATTTGCTTAATTGAAACTGGAACTGTAAAGATAATAAGTATGTTATGTCATAGGTCATTGAATTTAAGTACCAATTTCACATATAGAATTTTGATTGTATCCCCAGCGAGTCGGTAGTGAATGGATTAATCAAATTAGAAATATAATATTTTTTTTTACATATCCGTGCATTATTTGCAAAAAGTAAAGTCTTTGTGACAGCAGTGTTCGCAGGAATCAAAATGGCCAAACATTTGCATCATCTTCAACAAAAATTAAAGTTGTTCAAACAAATGCAAACTTTCTAACAAACGTGGTGTGTGGGGGGGGGGGGGAGCTGTTGACCACAAAGTTGGGGGGCGGGATCATTATTTTTTTTTAAACAGAATGTTTCAGGCACAAGCAAGCGTAAAATAATGAAAGTTCTTTGAAAGACTCATTTTAAAATTAAAGTTGTTCAAACAAATGCAAACTTTCTAACAAACGTGGTGTGTGGGGGGGGGGGAGGTGTTGACCAAAAAGTTGGGGGGCGGGATCATTATTTTTTTTTAAACAGAATGTTTCAGGCACAAGCAAGCGTAAAATAATGAAAGTTCTTTGAAAGACTCATTTTTGTATATCTGGCTATAAAAAATGGTGGCACTTCCGTGAGGCATTTAAAGGAATGTCTCTTGGCCCATCGTGACAACAACTACAACCAAAGTACAACAAGAAACACAGCAATGCAACAATTATTTTTTTTTACATAGCCCACGGTTGGTCCTAAAAAAAATTTGCTTAAAAATCGGACACAAAAAATATCTGTCTTTTACGTTGAATGAAATACTTGCCAAAAAAAATTTGTTTTTAATTGCCCCAAAATATAAATTCCAAAATTGTTTTGCTAATAAAGAAAGATAATTTAAGTTTTCCGTGATTAAAAGATTGAATAAAACAAAAATAAGCTCCCTCTTTTTATCGTATCATTGCAATACAGTGAGTATAGAAATAGATTTTTATTTTTATAATTAACAATTAAAACTTTAACAATATTGAAAGTTTATCTGGAACTTGAAATTTCTTAAACTAGAACATATAAATAACAACAGTTTTCATGATGTTGGCTTTTGCTTATAATACTAGAATAATCAGATCTGAAGCTAAAATTCTTAACATATTTAACAAGAGTGCTTAGGAAGCAGATATTTATGTATAACTTTAACTAAGCATTTCCCTTATATTTATCGAATTAATGAAGTTGTTCTTTTTTTTAAATCTGAAACGTGCATTTGAATTCTTGCAACAACAGATATTTTAAAAAGTATTTAATAAATAGAAATGTTTAAAACAAGGAAGTATTCTGTGATAAGTGTGTAGTAATGACAGTCTTAAAATGTAATCGAAATAAATTGAGTAGGTTTGCATTTACTTATATGAGCTCTGTTCTAATTTAAAGTAAGGTTGGATTTTTTTAGGTTTGTTTTCTTAAACAGGGACCAGCAGAAATGCAGTATTGTGAGCAAAGGCAATTTCATTAAAGCCTGGCGACTATAACCATTGACGTGTCACATTCGCCCCAACTCCACTCAGGTTATACATTGAAAAAAAAATGGTAGTGTCATGACATTGTTATTTTTCAAAACACTTTATAGATCATTCCTCAAAAATCCAAAACTTGAACAAAACAAAGAGTGACTTAGTTTTGGTTTATATAACCACAATGATTCCAATAACGACCTGCAATACAATGGTGAGCACATATCTGGCTTGTCAGTGCACAGACAATTCAACGTACAGCCAAAGGAACGGTTACATCTCAATGATCAAAGTACCGGGGTTGTGGTACTCCAAAAGAAACCTATTTACATGTGCCTCTGCAATGGCAAGTATTGCAAGCGTGCATAGCTGTGGCAGAATCATAGCATACAGTCTAACTAGAGAGCAAAAAAAAAAAAAAAAAAGATATTTGGAAGTCAAATACTATTTTTTTTTTAAACATGTTTTTTTGTTTCTTTTAAAACAATTCCACTTTGACTTATTTTTTTTTTTTAAATCCTATGCTGTGACTCTGCAATGAAAACAAAAATTAACACGTCTTTAATTCTGAAAAACACCAATCCTCTACACACGCTGTTAGTGCAAAGCTTCCCCTTCACAGCCTTTCGACACAATGGATACCACTCAACAACAACACCTGCCCTTATCGCCATTCAATACAAAACTTACAAAAATCTATTTTCAATCATTTGACGTAAAAAATAATAATGAAATGTAATGAAAATACAAAAGTACACAATTTACTGATATGATCCTAGTTCACACAACTCAAATAAAAATATGACACATGGTGACGCAAATATTGAACTTTACATTGTCGAAACACAATGTTACATGCTTCCTACAATTTTTGAGTTCGTATCGAGCCAAATCTTCAAGGATCATGATTGCATATGGTCTTATTTTAACGAAGAAGATAAGATATTTTATTTATTGCATAATAAATTTTAAAAATTTAAAAGACGTTTTTCTTTTAGAATCTAAGACATAATGATGTTTCTCAGGCAAATCTTAGAAGCATTCCCAATGCGTAAGATTAAAAGAGAAAAAGTAAATTAAAAAGACCCACGTGTACATTTTATTTGAAAGTTAATTTAATCAAATGGTATTTTATTTTAGATATAGTAAATTGTATATGAAAACGTCTAATCCATTTGCTGTGAATACTTCATGTGTAGTAAACAGTATATAATAATACGGTATCGTCAATGCCATTTAGCGATTATGCTTCACAGTGATTAAAAACTGCATGGTCATGACGACCGACTCTATAGCCGACATTGCTTTGGGCTTGCACCGTCTCAAAAATGATGAGTTCACGATGCTTGGACTGCTGAACGTAACAACATTGTTGGCCATAGTACAATTACTTTACAACAACCACGCCCATTTTCACGTCCCCCAGCTCGAGAGACCTTGAAAATACGACTGATAGCACACATTGTCTACATCAAAAGAAAGGTATATAACTATTCAATAAACTAGATCACACGGGTCTGTTGTCAAGTACAATCATAACACACATTGCTCTACACTGTATATCTTCCCTGACTTGGTTATCAAATAAGTTTTGGGGTAAATAAAAAATATGTTAACAAAACCCAAGATGGAACGAATCAAAAGATGTACATTAAACATTGGTGGGGCAACAATAATTCGCTACATACTGAGTGCCAATGAAGTAAAATACAATAGTAGTCCAATGCTATAATAGTCGGTGAGAACGAAACAGGGCTGTACAGATGTAAATGCGTCTTCTTAAGAGTTGTTTTCACATTAATCAACAAACGTCCGAGTGAGGTATAACTCAAGAGAACTTAAAATCTTACTTGTGGTTTTCACAAATAAAATCTGTAAGTGAAAAGAAAGCTAAACTTTTTACAATACATTTATAGCTACAATTCGAACTGAACACTTCACCATTTCATCTTAACACTTGGTTTAAAATAAAGTTCACTTAGAACAATCACATCGGGAATGACCCTAGGATCTCACGAAAAAAACAACAACATTTAAAAAAAAAAAATATCTCACAACAAATAAGCTTCCCAAATTAAAGAAAAACCCACAAAGGTCATTAAAATTTGGTTTCTGGCTTATCGAATCTCGTTTCCTTACCTCCACACCCCATACCTTCAGTGCCATTACCTTTCGGAATAATACTAATCAAATTGGCTTTGTTCGAGCCCATTGGTTTGTTACTACGCCTTGCCGTCTGAAGCTGCTCCCTCGAGGACATCAAAAACTCCATCTCGGGCCAGCATAACCGCCCCGAGCCGCAGTCCTCCGGCATAGCACGCCTGACTGGCAGCATATCCAGCATTTCAGGGTGCATGTCGGCAGAAGCTGGCCATTGCATGTACGTTGCGGTCTTTCCTGGTTGGTCGGAGCTGACTGGGTTGCTGCTCGGAACAGGCGTCAAATCCGGATACATCATGGCCATCTCAGGATTGCAAATGTTAGGATCTACAATGTTCGGTGACGTGCACACACCTGTTATATTTTCCATACTTACCGCTTTTGACATCAGAGAATTGGAGAAATCGTGATCCAGATCTTGGTCCCATGGGTTCGTCCTTGTTTTGATTAGTCTAGGACACACACTGTCGTCCAGAGACGGCCTCATGCCCAGAACGGGTACCGAGAATTCCTCCGAGCCCGAACGCATTTTAATGAAAGTGGCTTTATTTTTGACAGTGTTTGATCTAATCGGCCGACCGGTTTTATCATTCTGTCCATTAGCGCTAAAGTCATTGTCGTTTGTGTTGATGGTTATAATGTTGCTGGTATTGACGTGGGGATTGCTGCTGCTGCTGTTGTTGTGGTTGTTGTTGGGGTGAGCGGAACTCATGTTCACGGGCATCTGATGGACGTACACGACACGAGACAGCATGTCCACGAATGGGACACGAATCATACCTTGAGGGAAACGGGACGCAGAGGTCATGACCCCGACCAAATTGGACTGTCTGTTGGGGTTAGCGTTCTGAACGGATTGTGGGGGCATGAGAATATTTGGTACGCAGTACATCTGCTGCGTCATTCCCATGGGAGCTTGCAGTTTACCACCTGCCATTTGCATTCTAGTCATTTGGTTGGTGGCCATATTGTGTGAGCTGTTCTGCTGCATCATCCCTTGCATTTGTGTGTTCATGACAAGGGATGCAGTTTGCTGATTGGACATTACATTGTCCTGCATTCTCATAGAGTTAGAATTACTGCACGTCGTTTGCTCTTTATTGGGGAACAGGCCCAACATTTCGCGGAGACGCCTGTTGCTCTCCTCAACCTCCGCTTTCACTTTGTCGTCATTGGATTGCTGCTTCAAGCTGTTTGCGCCGAGAATCATTCTCGGTCTGTGCTGGTCTTGGTTTCTTGAAGCCTGACCAGCCTGAGTCTGATCTAGCTGTTCTTTGGTATTGGAATACATTCTGTTGGAGCTGTTGGACCTCAGAGCTGCCAGTTCTTGGTCACTGAGTATCATTGTAGAGCCGTCAAAACTCTGTACTTGAACATATTTATCACTGGCGCCATTATTGTCTGCATCATAGTCCTGACTGCAGTTATCTGGAGGCATTTCATGCCAAGGTGTGGAGCCTGTGGGATTGTCTAGATACGTTTTTTCAAGCTCTTCTGATAATTTGTATACCGTGTCTTCTGACTTTTGCCTGTTGGCCTGCTGTTGCTGTTGTTGTTGTTGCTGGTGGTGTTGCTGTTGCTGCTGCTGTAACACAGTGAGTTGAGACATTGATGCACTGGTGTGGGGAGAAGGTCTAAAGATAGAGTTGGCGGTGGTAGGGTCACTGAAAGCGCGACTTAGCCGTAGTTTTGTCATGTCCGATTGCTGAATGTCTTCATCGTTTTGAAGATTTTCATCTTCTTTGCTTTTGTCATCATTTTCACTAGATTTCCGCCCACTAGTCGGGTTGGTTTGCGCAGCCAATATCTGAAATCATTAAAATGAAATTTAACACCTTCCAAGTATCCTATAATAATTATGTATTTATAATATGAGAAAAATGCTTTCATTTACACTAAGATTTAAAGTATGCCCGTTTTAATCGTATTTTGGAAAAATGGGATAGATAAATCAATATAAGTCTGTTATTTGATATTAAGAAACTCCAAGTAAGGTGAATCTTCATGTTAAATTGTTTAAAAACTCCAATTTAATTTTATTTGCATTAGTCCTAAAATCATTATTGAACTGCAATTCATTTTAAGAATAAAATTGATTTTCCAAATAGACACTTGAATTGTTTTCTACATAGGAAAAGTTTAACAGGTAATATTACAAAATGTTTAAACTTTTGCATTGAATTAGTGTGCTGAGGTCTTGCTTTGTATACAAAGAGACAAAAAATTTCATCAATTTTGAAGTTATCGCCAAAAAAAAAAAAAGAATTGGATGATCGTTTCTTCAAGCCATGAAGTAAAGATTTTTAGCTTAAATTTGACCCAAACTGGTCCACATATTTTAAATAAGTTTGGTTATGGCTGTCAGTATGTATTTCAAACAATTTTTTATAGCCTTACTTTGTTATTGAGTATCTGCATTGATTGTGACAGCATTGGACCACATACTGAAGTATTTCCCCGCAGTGAATGTGCCTCGTCTATGTTGGTCTGCCTTCCTTTCCAGGACCTGAGAAAATGGTCTGAGAGGTGAATAAATTTACAAAAAGCTCTCTTGACAGAGCTCAGAGAGTTCAAAATTTGATATCGATTTGTTTAGCTGATTAATTGACATTGAATAGTGTAGCTGACTATTTGACATCGAATAGTGTAGCTTACAATTTGACATCGAATAGTGTAGCTGACTATTTGACATTGAAAAGTGTAGCTGACTGACTATTTGACATCGAATAGTGTAGCTGACTATTTGACATCGAATAGTGTAGCTTACAATTTGACATCGAATAGTGTAGCTGACTATTTGACATTGAAAAGTGTAGCTGACTATTTGACATCGAATAGTGTAGCTTACAATTTGACATCGAATAGTGTAGCTGACTATTTGACATTGAAAAGTGTAGCTGACTGACTATTTGACATCGAATAGTGTAGCTGACTGACTATTTGACATCGAATAGTGTAGCTGACTATTTGACATTGAAAAGTGTAGCTGACTGACTATTTGACATCGAATAGTGTAGCTGACTATTTGACATCGAATAGTGTAGCTGACTATTTGGTCTGTTAAAACAAACCACGGATTTCTTTTTATATTTAGAATATAATTATATTGGCTTAAAATATAACAAAACGCCAGCAGCTGATACAGGAGAGAAGAATAACAACTCATTGGGACATGTAGAGTTCAAACATAAAAATATTACCTTGCATTTATCTTTCTGTTGTTAAGATATGCCAAGGGGTATCCGTTTCCAGCCACCTCATTTTTTTTTATTGTGGGGGTTTGGGGGGGGGGAGGGGCGATTTCCATTTTTTAAATATATTCCAGTCCAGTTCTTTATACTCACCATGTATTTTGCCTGGAGTCCTCACCATCGTAAAACACGCTGGATTCGTCGATCTGCTCACTCTGGTTTCTACCCATCAGGTAAGGGTTGCCAGATATCTGACGCCTTTGGTCCACGGGATACGCCGAGACTTTATTGAGGTAGGCGTCGGAGAACTTGTACTGTCCACTCATTGAGGCGCTACCGAAGACCTGCTGGTCAGCACACAATGCGCTCTGCCCGCCCAAGGATGACATCGAAGATCCCATAGGGGAGGCGTTCCACGAAAAATCCCTGTCGGTCTGAAGACTGGCCAGCAGGCTGGTCGGGATATTGTCATTGGAGTTTAGTCTCGAACTCTCGGCTGAACTGCGATTCGAGGGAAGGTAGGGGACGTCATTGGCAGGAAGCATGTTCTGCTTCCACTGGTAGAGGCGAGAAACACCTGTTGCGATTTGACAGAAAAACAAGAGAAGTAATGGAGATGGAACAAAAAAACCTAATAATTTTTTTTTTTTTTATATTGGTGTCCCTTTACAAGCAGCAAATTATTTTGTCCAATAGGATAAGATGGCATCTATATTTTTAACGTATATACAATAATGAACTTAAGATGAGAACCCAGGCACACATTTTCCTCTACTGGCTTTGCAAGTTAAGTCGAACCCACTAATCGCGACCTCGGTTAACTCGTTCATCCCTGTTATGTCGACTTTTTTGAAGTGGAACCGCAAAATTTTCTTTGTCTCATCATTTTCTCCTCGGTTGTATCGATTCTTTTATGTCACCGAACCCTGATATCTCGAGCACAAAAGGCGGCCAAATTTGCCACTTAACCTCGGTTATTTTGAAAATTATGTACAACAGAAACTTGCCTGATTCAAACTGTAGTTGTTGAAATGAAATTACTACAATATCGTTGTCCGCGCACTTAACTTGACACAGCAAGAAGCGAGGAGCGAAGCGAGGGGCTTGCAAACAAAAGAGAGAGGTCGCGGTACCTATTCTATTGATAGCGAGCCTGCTTGTCGCTCAGTAGGCGTTCACGCGTTCTTACACGTTGCTTTTTTTTTTTTTTTAAATCCAGAATCTGTATTGGAAAAAAACTAAACCGGGGCGAGAGAAAATAAAAACTCTCGTATCAGGAGCTGAAAAATATTTAGCCTCACAAATCCGGAATTCCGGGATTTCCGGAAAAAATGTACCCCCACATATGCCTTGTGTTGTTAACAATGTATGTACATTTTATAGCACGCCGATCGCTTCATCAAACAAATCGCGGTAATATAAAAACAGCTAAAAAAAAACACGTGCATGTACATTTTCATTCAACGTGTAAAATAAAGAAATGTCAAGCACATGTTAATATATTGCCGCCATATTGGTTTTCGTTTATCTCGATCATGGGTAATCTCGACGCTTTTTGGCAAACCCAGAGGCCGACGACATAACCGGGTTCTACTGTACACTTTTTATCGTTGTGTAGAGGATTAATCTGCTTCTTAAAGTTTCTATTACGTGAGAATGATAATTGAATTAAATTAAATGTGTTTGATGAATTGCTTCATCAAAAAAAAAAATATTCATTTTAAGTTAGCATCACACCATAATTAATAATTATAAGCAATAGAAATCGCTTGCAAATAGAACTGAAGTACTCACGGGAACTCTGATCATTGGGTTGTAGGTGCATGAAATTATCTTCCATCTCACAGCGTTCTCCCGATGAATTGTTGGACACAGCGTTATTTTCAGGAATGTCGGTCTGAGCTGAGCAGCTGGTCAGATTGTTCCAACGATACCTGGCATTAAAGTCATCGTAACCAGGGTCGGCACCATTCCTGTTGCTAAGATCGAACCCAGCATCGGAATTGTTTCTGCTCACGGGATCAAAGCCGCCCCTGAACGTCTGCGCCCCAAAGGTCTGATTTTCCTGGTTGCTTTCCATGCTGGGATTTATTTTTAAAATGGGTCTTTGCACCGGCTGTCGGGCAGAATCGGTGCCCGTGGTAGCCTGGCCCAGCTGAGAAATACGCGATCGAGCGTAAGCCCGTATTAGTCTGTCCTCGAGCGTAGAGCTGGACAGGGGGTCGCTGTCATAGGCTGGGCGAGACATCTCAGCCCAAGATCTGCTCGATTCTGTGCACGGTGGTTTCTCGTCCGGTGCCTGGCCGAAACTCCCCTGCCTGTCGCCTTGGTGCACATAGGCATCCCGATCACTGCTATAGTCGTGCAGGGGTTCCACCGACAAGGTCATTGGGTTACTGGGGTCAAGGCAGGCATAGCTGGCCTGAGATGGAACAAAAAGTGTAAATAAACTCGATATAACTTTTCTAGGTTTTATATTAAAGGTTTTGAGCACAGCCAAAGAATTGTGAATACTGGTATGTATTAGGTGGACTTTCTTATTATTAAGATAAAGTTGTTATTTAAATTACAAATAATAAACGATGCTTATCTAATTATACGATGATTAATTGAATTCTAACTATGACGTCTAGTGAAGTAAAATCAAATGAAACCTGTATCATGCACTACCTTTAGTGTCCGATTTGAAGCAGGAAGTTCGGAGAAACCGGTTGTTTGCTGATTTTCCATAAAACCTCCAAGTGTTGACATGCCTTGTAAGTTGTTGGAAGGGAAATAATCTGTGTTTGACTGCTATAAAAGTTAAACATTCGACAATTATCTTTTTTATCCAACAGTACAATGTAGATTTGTATTTATTTAAGTTATTATTTTAGTCATGGTTTCAAATTCCAAATAAAGACATTAAAGTTAAAATATAGCCACACGATGGCAGGTTTTTTCATAAGTCTCACAAAGAGAACATCGGCTTTAAAAGAACGTGCTAAATAAGAGTATACCTGATTGCCATTTCCAAAGACATCCATTCCCCCATGCCCTGTGGGCATAGAGCTGGAGCTGTATGTTGAAGACTGCAGGTTACCCACTGCTAGGCGAGATTTTGGAGACGTGGACTCGCTGGTCGATCCTATGGCCTGGAACCAGCCCTTGCTGGGATCCGACGTGGGAAAAGCGTAGTTTTTGTTAGAAGATTGTTGACGCTGCTGCTCTTGCTGCTGATACTGTTCAATGAGTTGCTGCTGCTGCTGCTGTCTCTGCTGCTGTTGTTGCTGATGCTGAAGAATTTGCCGCTGAAGCTGCTGCTGTTGCAGTAGCTTTTGCTGGTGCTTGAGGAAGACATCCAGAGAAGAATGTTTTGACTGCTGGTTTAGAGACTCACCGGGACATTTCGTCTGACCAGACTCGCTCCAGTTCGCGTTATTCGCTGCCTGGCCAGATGTGTCCTGACAGTGTCGGTAAAAGTTGTCCCCGGATGTCAGATTATCGTTGGGTACTTTGAGCAGACCTTTTTGTACCGGCCCAGCAGATGTTTTGCTCAGCATGTTGTTGGCCGAGCCACCGTCACTCAGGACGAGGGGCTCGCCTACGGATTTCATATTATGATTCTGGTTATTCATCGAACTTTCGACGTCTTCCAAGAGGAGATTACTGTCATACAATGTACACTGTTCACAGTCAGTCAAAGGAGCATCGTCGAGGACGTCAGATTTTTCACAAGAGTCTGTCGGTACTGCAGGGGAATTGTTATCGCTTTGCTCTGAGTTGTCTTCGGTCACTACTAAAATGTCTACTGTATTTACTGTCATTGACACACACTCCTCTCTCTTGTCCTCATTTGTCTCTGATAAGCCCGCCTTTCGGACAATGTTAGTTTTATTTGGGTGAGGCCACAACTTACGAATCGATTCGGTAGTTGTTTTTTTCAGCAGCTCGAGGAATTCTGGATCTTCTCGGGAATCATCGGAGAAAACCGGAGTCATCCGGGCAAGAGGAAGAACAAGCGGCACTGACTTTATACAAGTTCTTGAGCTGATCGCCTCTCCAAGACTGTCTCCTCGGCCACATGTCTTCCTCAGTTGGTCTAAGTAAGAGCGATATCTGAAATATTTTTTAAAAAAATTATGTTAGATAATTGATAAATATCATGAATAATATTGGCATACAAGTGCGATTAAAATTTTTATTTATCAGTTTGTACATTTAAAAACAACCATGTGTATCTCATTTGTATATAAATTACAATAATAAAAGAACTATTTGACATGCAAATGGTGACAAATTAATAAGTCAGACTCGTGGTCCTTAGCCATGTTGAAATCGATGAATAATTTTGACTTTAAAATTAAAAACCAAGTTCTATTAATGTTGAAGCATGTTTATGAATCTCGCCCTTATTTGCTTCACTCGCAGAGGATGTAAAATGATGTGCTCACGTGTTTAAGTAGTTTGATACAAGTGTGCTGGCATGAGCAGTGGAAAGGAGAGTATTTCCCAGCTGAGCCTTGTTCGTCTGTTGGGGATTGTCCTGAGAGGAGCAAACACGCACCAAATCTGCGAATGTTCTGGTGATATGCAAATAGCAAAACAATTTTGGAATGTTTCCTTTTTAACAGATTTGTTATCACCCTTATTATTCATTTTACCAAACGAGATTGTAATAACTAAACAGTTTGAATAACGTCAAATATTTTCTTTAAAAAAAATAAATAAATTGTATTTAAATATTGGTATGCAGAAACTTACACTTTAGAATCAAATAGTTTTTGAGTAACACCGGCAGCTTGAACAGAACAGTCAGTAATGACAATCTGCAAACAATATGTGGGATAAATACAACCGATTTTTAATCAAATGTTGATATTTTTTTCTGAAAATGTCTACTCCAAGAAAATCAATAAATAATTACACCTATTAAAACTATAAATAGCTTTAGAGCATTTGGAATGCCATGCCTCAATAAGAAACCATGCTGAAAAAACATCCAAATTGAAATATTCCCCAAAGAGCTTTTCAGCACTGGGGACGGTCTGTCCAGCTTGAATATGCATTATACCATATTTAGTGAAACTGAAATTGTACTCATAATATTCACAAAATATTGTTAAAATGTTTAGTTCCAACTATTATATGTCGATTCAGACATTGCAAGAATTGAGATCAAAAGAGTCCAACATTTTTTATGTCATTTCTGGCCAGAATGCACGATTTAAAACAAATAATTCATAATATTTTTAAACTGATTTTAAAACGTTGTATATTAAACGACCTTAATATGATAATATCTTCTCTAAAATGTTGAGATGCTCCTGGGTTGGATATGATGGAAGACACATACCAACGAATGATCACCTTAGAAATATGAAAAGACGCCCAAGAAACAAAAATCAATAAACCTATAAGTGTGTTTCAAGTTTATATGTGCGATGTCCAATGCTCGATATATAACAATAAATATATATTTAATATATTGCTTATATTTGAAACTATGCCTCAAAGTATTGTCTTAGTTACTGCTAATTTAAAATAGTATGCAGATAGATCTTATTTCTTTTCAAATAAGCAAACACAGCTTAAAATAAAGAAGCTAGCACTCCTAACACACGCATGGAAACACATGAGAGGAACAGGAAACCATGTTGAAAAAGTTGGCTCAAAAGCTTACCTGTAGCTTCTTCTCTTGATCTCCGCCTTTGTCAACTGAATCGTTCAAAGCTAATCTGACGAAAACAGAAGCTTGTTAAGATCTGGCAACGTATTCAAGTTGATTAATTAACAACTGCTGGCTTATTCATTATATTCCATTGGCAAGATACCCAACGGAAAGCCAACTCAGATATGAACTCAGGGTTAACCAAGTAAAAAAGGACAACGCGCTGTGACGTATGTAGAGACGTCATCTTGGAGCAGCTAGTTACAGGGTTTTCCCGAAGTTAGTACTAATTTTAGGCCTTTATGCGCTGTGCTCAGTGCGCAACGTGTCGCAACTATAGCAGCACACACTGATTTTTAATTCAACAGGTGCCCCGAAAGATTTCGCTCGTGTGAACATGATGCTATGCCGAGTTGCATGAGGATAGACTTTCATATGTTTCATTTTATAGGGATTATACTATTTCAATTAAATCTATTGAGACGTGAATTTAATTATCTCTTAATATTAATATATAAATTGGGATTTTCAACATTAAAATAAATATTAAATATAAGCTAATGAAAGAGAAGATTATTTTCTCGGGCTAAAAAAATATTTAATTTTAAATCAATGGTCCTTTATAATATTTTAAATTCTAATCATGTGGTAACAAGATTAAAAAACCATGTCCTTAGAACTGATTTATTCCACTTGGGCGTTAAAAACAAATGAACATCATAATTCTTCTAATGTCAACCTTTTAAAAAAAAGAAAAAAAAAACTCCTTAAAAAAATCGAGGTATCAACCAGATACGTTTAATGTACGTGTTTAGCAGCTTTCCATGACCTTCTTTATTATTGACTTTTTATCAACATTGACCCATCATTTATGTTTTATGTCTTGTATGTACAAAATGGAACTATGGGTGGATGGGATACATTTTAATTAATCATAGTTTTAATCCATTTGTTATACAGATTTGTATTTATTCATTTAAAATACAGATCGCGCCGTATCCCCAAATTCTGGAATCTGACTTCAGTTTGAAATCCACCCTTTTCAGACATTGTCTATTTCGTTCTAGCGCTTTTTGCGTCAAGATTTTTAATTCTAAGTAATCTATTTTGAACTAAATGAAACGGGGCCACAAAGGTGGGTGAAATAAGAATTAGCTATATGAAAAATCGGCAATACGGATAGAGATTTTTTGAATGGCAAACTATTTTATAATCATTGTCAAATCATAAGTATGTCCGTTTCCCTTCACAGCCAACGAAACTTTTTACACGTTTCTGCAACAATGGTGTTGTTTGCGTGAAGCAAATAATGAGATATCGAATTAACCTGGAGAAGGTTGTAGTTGATATGCTTTGCTTTCGCCATGATCTTAGGGAAAGGAATTGTAATCATTAAATTACTGCATCAGCTCAGTTTCCGCTTTGGTTATGCAGGGAAAAAAATTACATGACTGATGTCTAATCCTTTTGCTGCTCTATAGGTAGGGGTCAGGTTTTTATTATTTAAGGGATAATTTACAACACTTACCCGACGTTGGCACCCGTTTGAACATCACACCTACCCTTTGTTAGAGTCCCATGGAGCTCCGGGACAAATGCCGTCACCATAAGACCCGAATGTCGATCGTATTCCTTTCCCCTTCCCCCCTGGCTTACGTTGCATAAACAGAGAAGTTTTGGCTCGGGATGTTTCTTCGAGGAACGATTTTGAGCGTGGAGCTGTACCACGCCGTCTGCTATCACCAAATTTCTCGTAATCAATACTACTTTGCGACCCTGTCACTTTATGGCCATGCACAAGTTCTTCTCTAGAAAGAATCTCTGTTTCTCCTGGGCTGTTCTCCCCTGTCGTAACGTTTGTGTGGGAGTTTGTCGGATCATCCGAGGAGATGTCCATTGTAACATAGTGACCCAAAGAGAATGAATGCAGTCATCGCGACGTGTGTTTAAAATGGTAAACAAAGACGCACTAGGAAACACATGGTTGCCGAGATAACTTGGGATACGTCATGGATCTATGGCAAATTTCGCTGACGTCAAGCACGCATTTTGTCTAAATTTCAAATTGACTTGGGTCCTGAAACAATGTGTACAGGTGTTTAATGTTAAAGAGAAAATTGAAATACGGCCTCCTTCATTAAACAGTTGACATATCTGTTGAATTTAATTACAATTATCTATTGATTAATTAAACCGAAGGTCAATTCTGCCAAAGCATATCAAGTTATTACAAAATTTTTTGTTCAATTATAGTTTTTTATTTAACCCTGCCTTTCCTAGAAAGACGAAGTTTCAACAATTGAATACTTTAAAAATGAATAAAATAATTTTTTAAATTTGTTTAAGCAATAAATACACTTATTTATACATTGAAAATATGCTAGTTTTTTTTTTAATTTTAAATTTTGGCAAACAAATTTCTGTCACTACACCATAATTCTAAGTGTATTTTCAATTTATGAAATCATTATTGTAAAACTAATCAAATGCTAAAGTTCCTTTTAATTTTTTAAAATTTGATTTTATCCTTTCGAAAAAGTAGAAGATTCGTGTTGATGGATGGACTCGAAATATTTTGGCAGACTGGGCACATTTTACAAGATCTTTGCTTGGAATAACATAGTAAATGCATTTGATCGTTCAAATATTTTGGTAGGCATCCGTTTACGGATGTCAGTTTGGAAATCATGAAATTATGTGGTTGTTTGGAAGACTGAGACAAACAAGGGCGTATCAATTTAGATATCATCACATTATGTGGCTGTCTCGAAGACTGAGACAAACAAGGGCGTATCAAGTTTAGATGTAAATACATATATATATATAAATTTATATGCCCTTGCGTTTTTGTGTAAATAAGGTAGAACAAATAATTAATTTGTTTTTTCTACGTTTAGCCTATTTCCTTTTTCTTCCTTTACTTTTTAACTAACTTCTAAACGTATCCTCAGCGGGAATATGTTTGTTAAAATATGCTTATTTTAGTATTGTATAATATATATATATATATTTGTATTCACGGTGGCTACCCAGGTAGCTTGCGAGCCCTGTTTATGCACAGAAAACTCTCCCGTATGTTGTAGCACACAGGGGTTTTTGAGTTACTTGTGGTATTGAAGGTAAATATGCCTAATCCCTGCGTTATCTTTGAGGGTTAATGGGTAAGCTAACTCTCTATGAAGAGTATGCTCCGACAGGGTTGTCTCACAAGTGTTTCCCCATGAGTTCAGGGTCGATGTCCATGAATTTAAGGACACTTTTTTAGGAAAACTTTGAATGTATTTTCTGCCCTCTAACTGAGCGATGCGCATTGTATACTTCACCGTGGATTAGCTATTTAGACATTCTATTGTCTGACATGAGGTTTTGGGCAATTATTTCGCTTCTTAATGGTCGAGTATGATGTGAAAGTGGGTGATGATTAAGGAAAGGTAGGTCGCAAAAAAAAAAAAAGGGGGGGGGGGTGCCATAGGCGAGTACACTCTGTAAGTTTTTATTTTTTTTTTTAAAATGGACGTTGATAAAAGTGCATACGATATCTTACACCTATGATTTATTTATACGGACTTATTCACACCTAGTTGAAAAGAATTTGAAATATGAAACCGATTTTACTTTAAATTTAAACACACCAGAATTTTCTTGAAATACTCAAGATGCGCTTGGGAGAAGGGGTTAAGAAGGGGAAACTATTCAGTAAAAATTATTCCCCACAGATTCCAATGACGAATAGCTCTTAAAATGCAAAAACTCGTTTAGAATTTAGTACAGACGGTATGTTTACATCGGGTCTTTGATGTCCTAGTTGTCTAC